CAAAACAACCCAAAAACCAAAAACAAACAAACAACCCCCGCCCCCAACCCAACCAACCAACCAATAAACAAAAAACTAGCTCTTGGGTGCTACCTTCCCCAGTAACCCAGCCTCCAAATCTGACATATTTAATATAGTCGGCTACGTTAAAGAAAAGTTTGTCTTTAGGTAGTGGGATCACAACTGCCCGTCCTCCTGCTTTGTAACGTGTCCCTTGTTCTTCACACCGAGCACTTTTTCCATATGCAGTGCACAGAAGTAAGCAGGGAAAGGCTACAGGCCCTCGGCCGCTTTCCGGCCTGCAGATTTGTGGTAACTCCCCCAGGAGGAAGGAAGGCTGGTTGGATGCCAGAACTCTGAAATAACTATATAGTGTTTCCCTGCACTAATCGCCTCCGAGTGGACAGCAGCACACAGAACCATCAAGGACCACACTGATCAATCTAATGAGACCTTGTGACTGCTGAGTGCAGTAGTATTTGCTCCGCCCATGACCTTGGGCTATACGGGTCTGAAGGAGGTGGTGCTTCCTGCTGTTGCATGTGACCTCTTAAGGGAGAGGGGGGGAGGGTCAGAGCCCCTTCTCCCTGCTGCCTCCTTCCCGGTTGATCGAACTGCCAGGTGGATTCACTCCTGGTCGGATCGGAAGACGACTTCAGCTGTCTACTCCGTTCTGTATTGAGTATTGTGAGTGTATTGCCTCAATTTACCCTAACAAGTTCCCTAATACTCCTTAAGTAGACTCCTGTGGATTTCTCGCTTTAGCTGAGTATTACAGAATATTTGTTTAACTATGCAAAGATGTGCTGCATTTGTTTAACTGTGTAAAGATGTGCTGCATTTGTTTAATTGTGTAAAGATGTGCTGCATTTGTTTACTATGTAAAGATGTGTAGCTGTTTTTACCTTGCCTGCCTAGAATGGCCAATAGTAAGGGTGGAGGTATAGGCAGATCTTCTGGGCAGGGAGAGGAAGTAGGAGGAATTTAAGCTTGCAAAAAGGAAGAAAGAAAAGGAGATGCCAGGGAGACTCCAGGGGCCGGCCAGACAGACATGAAGAAAGCAGGAAAGTAGGACAATACAGAATGAAAGGTAAAAAGTCCCAAGGCAAAAAGTGATGAATAGAAACAAGGTAAATTAAGCTAAAAGAGCTAGTGGGACAAGCTTAAGGTAAGACCGAGCATTAATAATTAATAATAAGTCTCCATATCTTTATTTGAGAGCTGATTGGTAGCTCAAAGAAAATTCCAATACAGCTGAGGAACTGACTTTCAAAACATGTAACAGCAAACCCTGGTAGGTGCAATTAGATACAGCATGGCCCCATGTGGTCATGTTCCCATGACACACGTCAGCGGTGTGCCTGCCACATACATTTGACTACACTTCAACCCCAGCCTGCTCACATCAGGACATACTTACCACAGCCTCCACAGCAGGTGAATTGTCCCCCACCACCAGTAAAGTGGAACACCTAGGAACCCGAGGAAGAAGAGGAGTCAGTCAGCAAGTGAGCACAAACACTGGGGACGATGGATTTGTCACGACAGGCAGATACACAGCCATTCAGTGGGGAGACTCAGGGACTTACTTCAGTGTTTTCAGCCTGTTATCATTTTGGCCTGGTTTGGGTCTTTTTATCTTCAGGTCTCTGCGTCTAGACAAACCAAGCAGAATCAGTGTCATTTGCAGGCAAATCATGGCCCTTCATGTGTTTCCTGGACATGTAATCCAGAGTATGGCAGTCTAGGAACATTGTCTTCTTCACACCTGAGGATGGAAGGGCCCTGAGCGTTCTCCTGAGGCTGTTTCCATGGCACCTTGCATGCTACAGAGCAGGAACAGGGATTTTATGGGATGCTAAAAAGGGGGAGAACTTTAAAACTCAAACTACTGAAATCCTCAGGTCCAACAAATTTTCCAAGTGGTCTGTAGGAATGAGCCCCTTAGGAGGAGGGAACAGCATACTTTTACTGTTTGGGATTGAGGAGAAGGAAGGACTTTCTTTGTAACAGTCTAGCACAGGATTTTCCTTTCAGTGGGGACAGCCTGGAGAGCAGGTTCGAGCCTGGCCAGGCTCCTGCTGTGTAACTCCGGAGAAAGTTACACTGACCTAGTTCCTCAGGCTCTTCCTTCCTCTGAGAAGCCAGTGTTTGCACCCTGAGAAGTGGTTCCCAGGACAGGAATCAGCACACCCTCCTCACTCTGGCAATGGAGGCAGTGTGTGTAAATTCTGGAATGCATAAACTTGTCTTTTGTATTTCAGCACCCACAGGCTACTTCTGCCCTAGGAAACAATTCCAGCAAAGAACAATTAAGTCAAAGCTCAAGTGTTCTCTCCTTTCACACAAAACGGGGGAAGTTCCTCGCCTCTTCTCTCTTACAGATGCCAATCATCTCTTTTGAACTGGTCTACAGGAATGGGAAACACTGTACCTATCATAAGAACGCAGGAAAAGCTCTAGGTTTCCTTGATTGATATCTTGGGCAATGCGTAGTCTGTAACTTTGAATCAGTTCCAGGTTGGTCCTCAACTCTTCCTAGAATAAACAGAAGACATATTCTAAGCTACAGAGAAAACAGTCTGAGAGCACACGGTTGCGTGCGCGCGCACGCGCACACACACACACACACACACACACACACACACACACACACACAGACACGCACATGTTGGGGAATATTATTTTAAGGTGTGTTACTTTTGTTTATGTTGCATTTGTTTAACTCTGTGAAGCTGTGTTATTGTGTCTGTGTAAAACACCTGATGGTCTAATAATGAACTGAATGGCCAATAGCGAGGCAAGAGAAAGGACAGGCAGGGCTGGCAGGCAGAGAGAACATACAGAAGGAGAAATCTGGAAGGAGAGATCTAAGAGCCAGAGAAAGGAGGACTCCAGAGGGCAAGCCACCCAGCCACACAGCAAGCTACAGAGTAAGAGTGAGATTTACAGAAGAGAATGGGAAAAGCCTAGAGGCAAAGGATAGACGGGATAATTTAAGTTAAGAAAAGCTGACTAGAAGCCAAGCCAAGTTAAGGCTGGGCATTCATAATTAAAGGCACACACCTTTAATCCCAGCAATCGGGAGGCAGAGGCAGGTGGATCTCTGTGAATTCGAGGCCATCCTAGGTTATAGAGTGAGTTCCAGGACAGGCTCCAAAGCTATACAGAGAAAACCTGTCTCAAACAAACAAACAAACAAACAATAAGCCTTCATGTGTGATTTATTTGGGAGCTGGGTAGTAGGCCCCCCAAAGAGCCAACAAACAAACAACAACAACACACACACACACACACTCTTGAGCACATGCATATACACATTCACATGCGCACACACATACATGCACGCATAGACACACACAAATAAACAAGAAATGAATACTATGACAGACAATAGTACAAATCACAATAATCAGAGTGAAATGACTATCCAGTTCCCCTAGAGAGGAATTTGATGTTAAAAAAAAAAAAGGGACTAAATGCTACTCTGAGACAGGTAGAGATTGCTGAAGGGGCAAAACACAAATATCTCTGAATTCTTCACAGATGACCTGTTACAAAACTGGTAGGGTCTGAGAAGCCACACAAACATAAAGACAACAGGGAAACTGTCACTAAAGAAAAACCAAATTGCCCCACCCCCAGCTTCCTGAGCCTTAACTGACTTAGCACTGACTTTTGGAAGTCACACAGCTTGGCAATACATCATTGCTCCCACTCTAGCATTCCTGTAGACGACACTTCTGATGTGTGAGTTATGATAACAGTTGCCTAGGTAACAGCAGAAGTTTGAAGGCTGCTTTTGCTGAAAACACTGGCCCTTCGTTTGAGCCTGTAACTATCTGATGGGCGATGAAAATGGGACAAGAGGCCTGGAGCTGTGTCTCTCTCCTCTGCTGTCCTAATATGTGGATCAGGTCCCCTCAGCTCTGCATGTAGACATGTTGGTCCTTTGGGAAATGTTTTGCAGAAATGTTACCTTAGAGATGGTATGCTTTTCCTGCTCTGTACATAGGCTCCTTCAGCATCCATCATAGCTCAAGCCCTCTAACCCTACATTGTGGGAGGCCTGCTCCCACTTTTTCCCAGGTACTCTTGAGAAGAGAGGAATAAGAAATATTTAAATAGAAAGATAGTATGGAGAAGACAGACAGAAACACAGGATAGCATCGGGAGGACCTGCATCAGTATCCACCAGCTCCTTCTGTCTCTTCAAAGGGGCTTTTAATAGGAATGCCTAAGGGCAGGGCAAAAGACCTCCCCCTAGCACAGCCAAGTGCAGACCCTTCCAAACATCCAGTAACCACACATGTGGCCAAGCCATCCCCTAATGCAGCCCTGCTGGGTGAAGCAAGCTCAGATCTCTGCTAGGAAACCTCTGTGGGCTTCCACATTACATAAGGCCCAAGCTAACTACAAGGCCAGGATGTTTGTGCAAGATAATCATGTCAACAGCAGGAGAAACTTGGCAGTTCTGGAGTAATTCATGGCCGAAAACATTAAGACCAGCATGTTTATAAATAAGGAAGACATCTTTTGAAATGGTGCCCATCAAAATTGCCAACATTTAGCTCACCCCAGAAGATCAAAGGCTTGCTGCTGCCTTTGTTTAATGGGTAGTTGATGGGGGAATGTCTTTCTGTATGCTGTGAATGTGTTGCTCT